CAGGACTATTTGCGAGAGGCCTCCTAAACACAGAAGGAAGAACAGAATCAGATCAGAGTTACGAAATCACAGCCATTGTTAAAAACTACAGCTTCACTTGAATTAAAGAAGTTAAAATAATAGAATAATAAAATGGCAAAACGAACGCACGGGAAGAGAAGACAGCCAGCATGAGGAGAACCGGAAAGAAGGACCCCATTGTGGAGGAATGTCTGGATCTCTGAGGGGTTCTTTGAGATGAACCTGTCTATATGAGCTGGGAAGCTTTGAGGGTTTCAATGAGAAGTGAAAGTGACCATGATTTTGCATAAATCCAGATGGAAATGGTATAAATGTGAGATGAATATCACAGGCGGTTAACTCTTGGTGACTGCAGAGACACAATCGTCCAGTTTTTTAGGCAATACTAAGGAAGTGGGTTGCCATTTCTTTCCTGTGAGGCTTTGTCAGCTTGGCCATGAAGGATACAACTCTGGAAATCTGCATCCAAGCATAAATGACCCTCTTTATTTTCACAGTTTCAATGTACAGTATGTAAATCTTTTTCAGGATATATGTCTAGCTCTGAAAGCATTCTCATTCCTTCCCCTTCCTTCTCCTCTACCAATTATAACTGTCTTTACTTCTCCTGGTCCTTCTCCTCCTCCAACTCCTTCTCCTCCTCCTCTGGCTTCCCCTTCTTTTTCCTTCAAATGCTTCATTCCTTTTTCTTCCTCCTTCACCAACTTTAGCTATAGTGAACACTATACGCAATTCTCCTTTATAAAGTAATGTATTTTCATTGAGGAACTCACTGTTTCAACCTGACCACAGTTTCACTGTCAGGTTAAAAGGATTGATAACATTCCTCTTCTTAATCTCCCCTTTTTTGGTTTGATGATTAAGGAATAGGGTATCCCAATGGAAAATGACACAGCTGACTATTGCTTCAAGCAAAGAGGACTTTGTGTGAGGATCACTATTGCTTTACTTAGGTCTCAGAGGAATGGGGTAGCTAAAACACATTCTAGAAAAGTCAGGAAACTAATTTCAATAAGAGAGGAGAAGTACTTTTGATTTTTATGTAATGAAGGCTGGACAATAAAAATCGTGAGCACTCCAAGAAAGTAGAATAAGGGAAAAGTACACAGCATAACTAGAAGCAACCCTTGATACCGCATGCCAGTTAAAAGATACTAAGCCTTAGATTCTAAGTTAATTACACACCCTCAGGTTCAAACAGAGGACAACAAGGAGGCAATCCAGGACAGTTCAATCCCTTTATTAGCTTACACCTAACAGGCAGAGTCTCGCCAGACTAAACCTGTGCTAAAGCAACTAGTGGATATACCCCGTGAGAATCTAGGGAGGGGCCAGGCTCATCCTCTTAATCGTCCCACCCTCTTATTGTGGGTTGACAGCTCACTTGCTCTGGAATGCCTCTTCCCCCACCTGACAACCTTGAACTTCCATTCCAGAATCTTCCCCGCTTATGCCATCCATAACACACACATACAAGAATAATCATCTTCCCCACATTGGAGCACAGCTGGGAAGAAAAGTGTCCTAGATGTTACATGCTATCCTCATAAAAATAGACCTTCTCTCTTTCAAAGGGAGTTTCTGCTCTCCCTGCAAGATCTGCAAGCAGAGATCACTTAGGGCGAGAACTTCAAAGTGTTTCTTTGGAAGAGGTCTCCTCAGCTCTTGACTAGGCTTTCCAATAAGTTCGCAAACTCCAGTAACATGTAGTTATTGATCTAAGCACAGTTGCTGCTCCACTTTGTAAGTAAGTCATTGTTTGGTATTACACACCTTATTTATGAGAAGGCTGCATAGGGGTTCACCTGCTTTCCATGAAATCCAACTGTTTATCCTAGCTGGTGCTGAAGAATATGAGTGAGGACACATCTTCCTGGGAAACGTAGTGAGAACAGAGCCTTAGCTTGAACGACACTCCTTCTTCTCATGTACCCTCAATTACCTTGGGGAGCTGAACAGTGTACTCATGCTGTACTCATGACCCCATGTACTGTACCTCACCTGAAATGAGAAAATGAAAATAAGATCTTCATCACATAGAACAAATGGGGAGAAGAAAAACTACTGAACTGTCATCGTAGATAATCCCAAGGAAAGAATGGTTGTTAATGGTGTCTCTAAACTACGAACTGCTTTACCATCTGAAAAGAATTGTACCTCTCAAGGCTTCCTAGGTTTTGTTTGGCTAGAATGTGCAAATGTCCTGCATACCTTGAAGAAATATAACACAATTTGGGAGCAATGGGAGCAAAGGTAATTCCTTGCAATTTAAAATATTTCGTGAAAAGACTAGATATTGGGACACCGTGAGTTTTAGTCCCAGTTTATGGACAACGGCAGCTGGGTGACTTTGGACCATGCAGTTGAACTCAGCTTTCGGAAGACAGCAAAGCAGGCCACTTCAAAGAATGTTGCCAAGAAA